CGACTTTCGCTTGGGTCATGATCTCGCGGTTCGTGGGTTCGAGCCCCGCGTCGGGCTCTGTGCTGACTGCCAGCTCAGAGCCTGGAGCCTGTTTCAGAGTCTGTCACTCCCTCTCTCTCTGACCTTCCCCTGCTCACGCTGTCTCTCTCTCTCTCTCTCTCCTAGAAATAAATAAAACATTAAAAAAAAAAAGTTTCAAATTCTTTCTCCTTCAACAAGAACAGACCAGCCAGTCAACCTTCCTGATTCAATGAGAATAAGTGCTTCAGCTCAGCACTTCCTCCACCATAGGCCCAAGTTACATGATAACCTCAGGGTTTCCAGAAAGTTTTAGCAAGGCTTTTTCTTAACTCCCATCTCTGTTTTCCTCTCCTGTGAATTTGCAATTTCGTTTACAAGCATCCTTTTCCTGGACCTTTTTGACACTTTTCATTCAGTCGTGGAAGCAATTTCCGCCTGAATTTTGATTTCTTTTCAACACTAATTTTCACTATGAACCCAAACTTCATCTTCCTGTGATTTTTTTTTTTTTTTTTTTTCAGATCACGGGTTCACGTTTGGTAACTGACTCCTTAACTATCACTTTTTAAAATGTTAACTGTTTGGAAACAAAACCGATGTTATCTTTTTCCTCCCATTCCAATAGTACTTGGAAAAATTCCACATGTCTGTGCTTTCAAGATGGCGTCACCTAAATGTTTTCCAGTAAGGCTCTCGGTGTTATTTCTGACGTTTCGTGTTTGGCCAGTGAAATGGTTGCTCGGGAACTTTCTCTGTTACGTTTCATAAGCGCAGATACAGCTGTTGTCACTTGAGGGAGGGATGACTTTAACCCAAATATTCTCTTTCGCGTAGCCCATCACCCTCCTGATGGAATCATCAGATGCCATGAACCTGGCCTGCTTAACTGCTGGCTACTACCGGCTACTTGTGGACTCCAGGAGGTCAATCTTTAACATGGCCAACAAGAAAAATACAGGGACCCAGGAAACAGGTATTCTCTTCCTAAACTCATGAAGCTCTCACCTCCCTCACCTCCCCCACCCCACCTGACAACAATAAGGATGTATCTTGAGAAGTTAAAATGGTACTCCTACAAAAATCTCCTGTCCAAATTTAATACAAGAGCCTCCAGAGAATTCAGATACGGTCTAATTTTTTACATGAAAATGTTGGGTTTTTTTTTTTGTTTTTTTTTTGCCATCCTGTTTTACACATCACTTAGAAGTGCTAGGGAATGTGTTTCAAAAGCAGTGATCTTATTCTGAAGGGAGTAAGCATCCGTCTTTATGACTGAGTTTTCACTGCCTCGCTCTTACGGAAGCGCGGATGCCGAGAACTAACCACAGGGTGCCCGGGAGGAGTTCTGAGCCCCTGCCTTTAGGGCTTGTCCCACCTTAAGGGCTCCTAAGGCCTCAGTGTCTGGGCACCTCCTCCTACATCACACTTAGAGCCAGGATTCTGGGGCTCTACCAGCAGGACTTGGGTATCACCCAGCACTTGGACTTGGACCTCTAGATGGGACCCTGGCAGTCATCTTAGCTCTGTAGTAGGAACGTGGAGATGGCAAAGGCCTCAGCCAAGTTGGGCCACTTGACAGGAGGAGATCGCTCACAAGTGAGGACGAGGAGGGCTGTAGCGTTAAGGGTTTCTTTGAGGGTGGGTGGTTTTCATTTGTTTTAGTTTTTTTTTCTTTAGTGTTTGATTATTTTCCTCCATCTACAGTGGACACCCAGTAAATGTGGCTGATGGACAGACACTAGCATTCAAAGCAGAGCTGCTGACCCATGAAAAACTTAGAATCATGGGGCACCTGGGTGGCTCAGTCGGTTGAGCGTCCGACTTCGGCTCAGGTCATGATCTCGCAGTTCGTGAGTTCGAGCCCCACATCGGACTCGCTGTCAGCATGAAGCCCGCTTCGGATCCCTCTGTCCCCCCACCTCTCTCTCTCTGCCCCTCCCCCACTTGTGCTCTCTCTCTCTCAAAACTAAATAAACATTTAAAAAAAATTATAACCAGGGTTTCTTTTGAAAGAAAGGGAAATTCTTAAGAACAAATTCCGTTGTCACTCTTTCTGAAAGAGAGAGGGGGGGGGAAGGAAAATCCGCTCACTTTTAGACCTAGCAGAAAACATAAATTATTATTACATAAATGTGACATTATCGATAGACACACACACCCCAACAGATTGGTGCATCGTTGGTGATGATGGCTGGTCAGGTGGAAGCACGTACTCAGAGGAAAGGGGAAACCCGAGAGAAACAGAGAGAGCAACTTCGAATTACAACTATATGTGATCCAGCCCCACCTGGAAGTTTCATTTATTTGTTTGTTTGTTTTATTTTATTTCTCTATGTTTGGGTTTTCTCAGTCATAAAATCAGGACTTGGGGACCTAGCTTGCAAGGAAGGGGTTAGGAAGAAAGTTCTGCACCACACCTAGAAGGCTGCCCGATGCTTCTGTCAACAAATGGCAGGGAAGTGGGAGCGGAAGTACTTGAGCATGAAAGTGACAGGGACAGAAAAAGGCAAGGAAGACCCTGAGAGTCGCAAATGATGGAGAACAAAGAGGGAAGGGACAAAAAGGTGGTGGTGAACGGGCGCTGCGTTGGGGGTGAACACTTGGGGGATCGCGTGTTGCCGCTGAGCTAGGAGATTCTGAACAATTTGCCACCAGCCTGGGAAACTGCGAAGATCCGTTCAGTGGTGTAACACCATCCTTTCGCATCAGAAAACCAGTTTTCGGCTGTTTTCAAATCAGGGAGTTTATCTTGAAAATCAAACCTGTTCCCCGTAGACTCTTAAGATTGTCCAGGTGCGTGAAGAAAACAAAACCCACCATTTCAACAACGGTCACAGCAAATAGGACCCCCCCCCATTCTGCCCAGTTAATAGTGATCCACAATGTAATGTGTAGTCAAATTTTGAGGGGCAAAGCTATTATCCCCATGGGGAAAGAATGGAACTTCAGCCTTTCAGTAATTTCTCCCAGGTTCTGCACCGAGAATGAGGGTGAGGGCATGTGCCCTGAATCTCTCTCTCTGCTGGGGGGTATGGGGAATGTGTGTAAGCAGGGGGGCGAAGGACAGAGCTGGCATCCACCAAGGAGCAACTGGTTGACCCAAGTTGAGTAGCAGCCTAGAGCTTAGCATCCTCTGATGGTTGCAAATCCACTCTCCACTTCAGGAACTTGCCCTGAGACCCAAGAAGTGTAGAGCGTGATGTCTGTTTAGACCAGTTCATCTCTGAGCTACACCATCCCCCTGTTTTGTGGGAAACTGGGCCAAGGTAGAGACCCCAGTTCCTAACCCACACCCTTCTGTGTCTCTCAGATCATTCTAAAAGCCAAGTCCCTACACCCTTCTAGAAGGAAGCCAAGATTGAGTGTGTGTCTTCTTCTTGTCTCAAATTGATCAGAGACCTTAGTCAAGATCTCTAATAAGGAACACTAAGCCCGCGTTTCTTCCTTGTCTTGAAAATTAACCTTTAATTACTTTCAAAATCCCTGGACCCATGTAGCTATGCACCTCTGTGCATTAGGAGGGTCTGAGTAAGTATTAACTTGTTTTAGCCTGCTGGCCTATTCAGCTTTCATGTTATTCTAAAGCAGGAGTTGGCAAACTATGGCTCACGGATCAAATCCTATAAATAAAGTTTTACTGGTACTCAGCCATGCACACTGTATTGTTTCCGAGGGCTGCCGTGGCAGATTATCACAAACCCTGGGGCTTAACATTACAGGAACTTATTCTCTGTCAGCTTTGGTGGCTGTAGGCCCAAAATCTAGGCAGTGGCAGAGCCATACCCCTCCAAAGGCTCAAGGGAAGAATCTTTTCTTGCCTCTTCCATCCTTATGGGGCCTTCCTTGCTTTTCTGTGGGGCCCAAATCTCCCTCTGCTTTTCTCCTATAGGGACACTTGTCATTGGATTTAGGGCCCACACGGATCATCCAGATGAACTCCTCTTTTTTTTTTTTTCTTTTTCTTTGAAGAGGCCACCACTCCACCCACCCACTGCATGCGTTTGTTTATGTGTCATCTATGTCCTACCTTCGCGTTACCATGGCAGAGTTGAGTGGCTGCTCAACTGAGCAGTTGACCGAGAAAACCTAAAATGTCTACTATCTAGCCCTCCCTTTACAGGAAAAGTTCGCCAACCACAAGTTTAAATCCAGAGCCCTGTCGCAGCTTTGCTAAACTACTCTCCCCCTCCCAGCAATTTACGTTCCTGAGATACACGAGCGTGCGCGTCCGCATGCACATACACCCTCTACACACAGTCCTAATCGAAATCATTCATAAAACGATGCTGAACCCCCACAGGTATGTGTATTATAAGGTAACATGTAAATATGGCTCTTGGGTAGCTCATTGGCTTCAAACTTATATCTTCACTTGCTATTCGTGAAAATAAATGCATTTAGCAAATGACTCGGAACAACATTCGGCATTGAGTTTATTGTGTATAACGGGGTGAGAGGAGTGAAAATGTCTCCAGTAAAACTGCTTTTGTTCCCATAAGACTTGTACATCTGATGTCAGTCTTATCCAAACTTGAGCCAGGGGGGCATTTGGGGGTACTAATGGGGGGTTATGTGGCCCTAACATTTCCTCGGAATGTTACCTCTGGAACCTACTGGGAGACAGCAAAACCATGGCTTTTAAATTAGGGTTTTGCGATTTTAATTCATAGGGAACATCTAACAAATCTTTAGGAGTTCTCAGGATCCAAATAAAAATTGAAATTAGCCAACCTATTTCTATGCTTAGAAAGAGCAGAGAGGGGGCGCCTGGGGGGCTCAGTCAGTTACGCATCCTACTCTTGGTTTCAGATCAGGTCGTGATCTCACGGTTCATGAGATTGAGCCCCTCAGTGGGCTCTGCCCTGGCATTACGGAGCCTGCTTGGGATGCTCTGTCCCCCTCTCTCCCAGGCCCTCCCCTGCTCGAGCTCTCTGTCTCTCTCAAAGTAAGGAAATAAACATTTTTTAAAATCTCCTTTAATCGCTTCTCAGCCTTTTGGCTAAGATCAAGGGTAGTATTTATTCTTCTCAGTTTGAAAATCTCCTTTAAAAAAATAAAAAGAAATAGCCGAAAGAGGTATGTTACCTGTGATCTCCCACCTTATGCATCATACAGACATGTGCGCGCACACACACAGGCATACATACTGACGTGTATACACGAATATATTAACACCTGCTAGGATATAAAAAGTCTCAAGATAGAGGTTTTGTGCCATCACTACAATATTATTACATTCTATTTTTATTTATGTATGAGATTATTTTTATTATGACATTATTACATTATCAATACACTATTTCATAAAATGCGTGGCAGAAGTCTGAGGCTCCTTGACTTTCTCTTAACTCGATGAGGGAAAAGTCCAACATCTTCCTTTATGAAGTGGGCAACGTTAGATCTCACTTTACAGAGAAAAGGAGAATCTGTTTTCTGGAATAACAGCCTATTGGACTATCGCCTTTAAGGGTTTTTAAAGGCATGTTATATGTTCACATTCACAGACGTAAATGAGGGCTTCTAGTAATAGAACCGGGGGTCACATGGAGTTAAGCTGTAGCTCCCTATTCTGAATGGTATTCTGTTTTATCAAATAGCGGTCGTATTCCGTGCGGGATCAGTTTTGGTACGGTCGATTCTCGTGACCAAGAAATCCTTACACCTGAAGCCTAAATCGACTGGTACCATATCTGGAAAGCTGAATAACGGTATTTACAAAGGTGATGCTACAAGCCATTGCATTAAGAAACCAGGCCTCACAGTAACGTGTCTTTGCATGATTCTTTCTCTTTAGGAACTGACAATAAAGGAAAGCATAACCTCCTTGGCCCAGATTGGAACTGTATACCCCAGATGACCACCTTTATTGGCGAAGGGGAACAAGAAGCCCAGATAACGTATATAGATTCAAAACAGAAAACGGTTGATATCACGGATGGCGCCTTGTGTCCCAAAGACCACCGGCACCTGTATCTAGATAACACCTATAATCCAGATGAACTCAACCAGCCGCTGACCCAGCCGGGAGACACGCCCTGTGAGGCAGACTACAGAAGTCTCGCTCAGCGGTCCCTGTTGACCCTCTCAGGACCAGACACTCTGAAGAAAGCACAGGAGTCTCCGAGAGGAGCTAAAGTGTCCTTTATTTTCGGAGATCTTGCCTTGGATGACGGTATGAATCCCCCGACTCTTGGCTACGAAAGACTGTTGGAGGAGAGCCCAGAACTGCTGGAGCAGCAGAGGAATCTCTACATCAGCGGTGCCAATGACATGAAGGGCCTGGATCTCACCCCGGACGCGGAGAGCATCCAGTTTGTGGCAAATTCTGTTTATGCAAACATAGGTGACGTGAAAAACTTTGAGGCCGCCGAGGGGATAGAGGAGCCCCTCCTGCACGACATCTGTTACGCAGAAAACACCGACGATGCCGAAGACGAGGACGAGGTGAGCTGTGAAGAGGACCTCGTGGTGGGAGAGATGAACCAGCCAGCCATCCTCAACCTGTCTGGGTCGAGCGATGACATCATCGACCTCACGTCCCTGCCCCCTCCAGAAGGGGATGACAACGAGGACGACTTCCTGTTGCGCTCCTTGAACATGGCTATCGCTGCACCCCCACCTGGCTTCAGAGATAGTTCAGATGAGGAGGACTCTCAGAGCCAGGCTGCCTCCTTCCTTGAGGACAAGGAGCCAGGCAGAAATCTGCAGAATGACGAGATCCCAGTGTCCCTCATTGACGCTGTGCCCACCAGTGCCGAGGGGAAGTGTGAGAAGGGCCTGGATAACACCGTGGTTTCCACGCTGGAAGCTCTAGAAGCTCTGTCCGTGTCAGAAGAACAGCAGACCAGTGACAATTCAGGTTCTTTCACGATTGTTACATTTATTCACTGATAACCCTGCATTTCATCCTCTCAAGCCATTTACCCTTGGAGTCCCGTTATGTGTGGTTGTCCATTTCACGCATGTCCCATTTCATAAGTGTGCTGAAACTACCATCGTGGGTTTTTCGTGTATGTGGTTTCCTTTGTTATTTTTTTTTTCCAAATATGTAGCACGTCTCCCCTTCCCCCCCCACCCCCCCATTTCTGGAACAACTGTGCAATAAACTCAGAGTCCTTACAGAAAAGGGAAAACCTTGGTTTTTGGTTTTTGGTTTTTTAATAATAACGAGTCCCATTTTCTTACATGTCTCCTAGTGCCTCTGACGCCTCCATTAATCCGTTCTTGTTTTTCACGGCATGCAGGTGTAGCCATCTTGCGGGCTTATAGTCCTGAGTCTTCATCAGACTCAGGCAATGAGACTAACTCTTCCGAAATGACTGAGAGCTCTGAACTGGCCACAGCGCAGAAGCAGTCAGAAAGCCTCTCCCGCATGTTCTTGGCCACTCACGAAGGCTACCACCCCCTCGCAGAAGAGCAGACAGAGTTCCCCGCCTCCAAAACCCCCGCTGGGGGCTTGCCTCCCAAGTCCTCGCATGCCCTGGCCGCCCGTCCAGTGACCGACCTCCCGCCCAAAGTTGTGCCTTCCAAGCAGATACTTCACCCAGACCCCATGGAGATGGAGCCGGAAACCATGGAGACCAAGTCGGTCACTGACTATTTTAGCAAACTGCACATGGGGTCGGTGGTATATTCCTGCACCAGCAAAAGGAAAAGCAAGCTGGCCGACGGGGAGGGGAAGGCACCCTCCAGTGGGAACATGCCAGGGAAGAAACAGCAGGGGGCCAAAACAGCCGAGGCGGAGGAGGACGCCAAAGGTAAATTTGGTACTGTGTCTTCAAGGGACGGTCAACAACACCTGAGCACTTTTAACCTGGAAAGAACTGCCTTTCGCAAGGACAGCCAAAGATGGTACATGACCACTGAGGGGGCAGTGGCCGAGAAAAGTGGATTGGAAGCGGCAGCCGGGATAACATTTCCAAGAGCTTCTGGTCTGGGGACAAGGGAGGCGGAAGAGAAGGAGGAAGGGTCTCCTGACAGAGAAGCCGGTGAGGTTTCAGGACTTGGCCAGCGGGACCACTTCCTAACGGACGTGACCTGTGTATCTTCAGCCAAAGACTTAGACGACCCAGGGGATACTGACCCGTCTACCTGTGACCATCCTTCCAAGCTTCCTGAGGCGGAAGAGAGCGTGGCCCGCCTTTGTGACTACCACCTGGCCAAGCGGATGTCATCATTACCAAGCGAGTGCCATTTTTCTCTACAGAGCTCTCAAGGCTCTTCGGTGGACGCCGGCTGTGGCACAGGCAGCAGCAGCAGCACCTGTCCCACACCCGTGGAGTCCCCACTCTGCCCCTCCATGGGGAAGCACCTGATTCCTGAGACTGCAGGGAAAGGCATGAGTTATGTTCCTTCAGAGGAGAGAGCCGCTGGGCTTCCCAACCACGGAGCCACCTTTAAGGAATTGCACCCACAGGCGGAAGGGATGTGTCCGCGGATGACAGTCCCTGCTCTGCACACAGCTATTAATGCGGAACCCCTGTTTGGCACTTTGAGAGATGGATGTCATCGGCTCCCCAAGATCAAGGAAACCACAGGTACAGGCAATGATGGATTTAGCGCTGTGCACTGTGTGCCCGAAGCCTGTAAACCAGATTTACAACAAACCTAAAAATAAAAAGTCTGGAAGAAATATAAAAGTTAGATTTTTTTTTGAAAAGTTGAGAGCTATGGCCAGGTTAAGTGTCCATCATTGATCCCCCAGTGCTTAGTAAATACTGAAGTGTCTAGATCTGGAACAGTGGTGGAAATGGCATTTGCACTGTAGAACCTTGCTCCATGCTTGCTCTCAAAATCTGTTGGAGCGATCTTTTTCTTTCTTTTTTTTTTTTTTTTCTAAATCCTAAAGGTAGATTTCCAGCAGTGCTCGGTGTGACTTTTAGTTGCAAGACAGTATTACATAGAGCCACAAAAGTTTGATTTCCTTCTCAAGACCTCAGATTTCTATTCTTGCCCTTTCATTACTGAGAGACAAGGAAGGATAATAAAGCAGGTAGCAGGGTGATGGAAGGAGTTTGGGAAGACCGTTTTCCTTTCAGCAATACTTAACAGTCCTACTCTGTAAGACTCTCTTAAATACATATTCTGAAATATCTGGCACACTTTGGTGTCAGGAAGGCTTTCGGGGTACACATGAGTTGCCTTATTTTCTGTGAAATAATAAAATATAGACACAGGGAGAAACAAGAACACAGGCACCTTCTATGTCCGTCTTCACCATTCTACAACTCGGTGGGTACATATTCCTCTCATCGATCCACTTGGCCAGCCATCATTTGGCAAAAGCGTGTTCTTTCATACTCTCAAATATCAGGGTACATCAGTGACGTCTCTTCCATATTAGGTCAGTAGGTGGTAGTGAGGTCTTACATTGGTTCATTTCCATTCCTGCCCTCTTAAGATTATCTACTTTCACAAACTCCCACCCCCCCCCCCAACCGCTGGCGTCACCTGCCTTGGGAAACCTGTCTTTGAATGTTCTTTAAGCACACTGTTTAATCTTTTGTGGTTTACAAAGAGCTTTCACCAAACTTACCTCTTCTCACAAAATTCTATGAGACGGAAATATGTTCTTCACATGACAACTCTTTTTGAGAAATTTGAGCCACTCACCCACAGTCTCCGCTTCAAACCCCATACCAGGCAAACCTCATGGGGGTCCTGTTGGAAAGTTGACCTTGTTAGTCTGCATTAATTAAATTAGACCACTTTTTTTTTAAAAAAAAAAAAAAAGGTAACTAATACCAGGATTACCCTAACTCCCTTGAAATGAAATTTATATGTCACAAATATGTTTGAACAGTGGAGATCTAGGATGCGTGTTTTCTCATTATGTGTCTAAGCACTGATAGGTAAATACCGGGGACAAGGAAGTCATGAAATGCCATTGTTTGTGAAAATGATTGTGATGGCTAGACAACTCCAAATACATCAGTCATTTCGGAAATAGCAGATTCCTAGTATTTCTTGAAATGTACTGAAGTGGACATCTTAGGAGATCTCAGGAGGCGGTCTCGGAAAAGGAGGGTGATCCCGACCAATGACAGCCCTTCTAGAATACATCCTTGGGAAATGACAAGCCTCACATAGAGATTCAGTGAAAATGACCACCCATGAGATGCTTAATGATTCTCTCTGTTTTTCTGCTACCCCTAGTGTAGCTTTGACAGAGCCTGGG